CAAATCTCATATTTGCCAATACATGTATTTAGAACTTAAATGAATTGTCATAACATTGCTACTTGGACATGGAGAAATCTTCGCTAAACTACACGTGGTTTCCATGTTAATCCACAACCTGTTGGATGATGCATAATACCTGAGTATTTCCTTGTCCGCCGAAGTTGTTGCAAAAGTATTACTAGTTGGGGGGGGGGGAAATGACACATAAGTGAATTTCAAACTTCAGCTCCAATGTCACACTTTGTTGTCCAACTTCATGGAATGAATTGGCTTTGTCAGTCAAATGTGTATTCAACCATAAGGGACACACAAATCTCATAATCAAAGCTTAAACTCTTAATAGGTATTCCATTGGTGCAACGGTAATATCAATATTTATACTTTAATGTTCTGTGGTGTGAGTACTTTTAAAACTGGAGCACACCATACATCGGATGCGTAAAACATGTTAGGTTGGCATGTCCATGTACAGACAGCTGCATTGAAGTCTAGGCATAAAATAAGGGTGCCAGCAAAATTCCATTTTGCTTAACGCACTGTCCGTTCATGTCAGATGTCTTTAAATGTTTGGTGTTCAATGTTTTGGAATCTTTCTGAACCGTAAGGCCAATGAAAGTTGATCTCAAAGTTCTCATCAGCCACTTCTGGAAAAGTGATTAGGGGATTTCATCATCTTTTGTCAGCAAATTTCTCCACAAGTTTGGCGAGGGATTTTCCTAAAAATTCATCAAACTATGCGTTCTTTTGACTGTAAAAAACAATTAAATTGCAGAGAGAATAGAATTTCAAAATTCAACGGGACAAGCAACTGCAACTAACCCAAAATACAAATGCATGAGTTGACAGCGAGAATCACTGAGGCTATGAAAAACTCACAGTACCACTCCATTGGATGATCCACAGCAAGAACGGAAATGTACTTGAACAGTGTGGCTTTCAACTGCTGCCAAACAATGCATCAGTTTGATCTCGGGTGTGCATCATGCCACTTTTCTACCACGTACCAAGCACCATCATATGCAAAATGTGCTTTAGCCCATTCCAATGACAGCGTGCAGATTGTCAATCAAAATTGGGCCCTCCTGTACACGTACAATGTACAAGTGCACACACAAAACAATACATCCATGTGATACTGTAGTCTGCACATGAATCCTGAATTATTTAACTCTGTCCACATCACCTTACTGGCTTTTCCAAAAAATGTCTCTACTCCCTCAATTTAATATTGCATTCTATACATACAGAGATACACAATTGTGATCATTTTATACATGCATTTCCAAAACAACCAGCACATTTGATGTATTGGCAAAGACATCATTCAATACAACAGCGCTAGCATTCGGTTTTTAGACTAACAAACTTGACGCCGTTAAAAAAAAAAATGTACAGGGAACTTTTCTGATGTGGGCCGAAATTTGCATGCGAGTGCTGACATTGTGAGGAGAACCATGAAATCAGACGCAGCTGTTGGAAAACAAGGTTTTTGATGCGGGCTGAAATTTCCATGCGGCGATTACGAGAACCACAAGATCAAGTCGAGTGGTTAAGACGTCTGCACTAGTAAGTGGGAGGTTGTGTGTTTGAGTCCCACCCGAGTACGCTTGTGGGTTTTTTCCACAAACCTTCAGGGGCAAACATAGAGTATACAATGTTATAATACACGTCAGGCAGGGCAAAAAATCCAAAGTTAATGAACTGAAGGCTCACTTAAATACCTTTTAATCTATTGTGTGGTAATGCCTGACCTCAGGAAGAAGTACTGCAAGGTTGGCAGTCTGACCTAAACTTCATATTACGGCAAAATGAGGTCAGTTCTGCTTACACGTACTTGATGGAAATCAGTAACTTTTAGGGGAGAACAAAAGAAAAGATTTTCAAAATTTTATTCAGAAACCTGGGTTGAATAAAAAAATCACCAATGTAAAAATAACATTGCTGATACCCAAATATTTTCACAATGTGAGTTATTCAAATCTTTAAAAGACAATATCACATCATGAAAATAAAATTGTGACATCATTTACCACTAATATGTACTGGTACACTGGGGACATCCATGTAGCATATTGGCTTTTTCTAGGATAATGCACATCTGCACATCATAAAAAATGAATCTTGCAGCATCAGGGTATGTAAAGTAGGGATGGTACTTTGTATATGTACATGTACACAGCCTACAAATACCTACAGGTACATGTACATGTACATGTCCTAGCCTCGGCTTAACAAGGTCTAGGCCTACTAGACTATTTAAAAATTGTGATTTTGTAAATGTTAGTTTTATACAACTGTTTTCCTAGTTCAAACTATTTTCAAAATTAGCTTTTAATTTGGACTTTCAAGATCAATGAAAGTGACGAGGACACTTTTCCTAGTTCTGGATTGTTTAACCAGTTCCGGATTGTGACAAAAACTTAACGAATAAAAAGTAACTGCACAAGAAATCAATTTTGCAGCCAGAACCATTATAACAAGCTGTTTTTCTAATGAAGAATTTCTTAATTTAGAGAAAATTATTTCATAAATAAGAATTACAGTGAATTAAAAAGTACAACCTGCGTAAATTTTGACTTGACTTTTTCAGCTATCAACAATACTATCCCCCATGCCGCACATTTGACTAATCTATTATGTCACATACATTTCTCCTACATGTACATGTACATGGATATCCGTGTAGTTGAACTTTGCAATTTACATTTATTTGTGTGCAAATAATGCGCGATCCGAAACTAGGAAATAATGTGTTCACTTTTGGTCAATTTTAAACAAACGGAAAGTCTACATGTCATTTTGGTTAATCAGACACAAAAGTTTATAAGAATGTTGAGCATGAAAAAGTATTTGGAATCACACGGAGTGAGTGACCTTCCACCTTGTAAATTTTTGTCAATTTTTTTAATCCCACGATTTTTGACAAACCATTCAAAAATTTCTAGCCTAAGTACGAAACGGAAATCTGGCTAAAATTTTCTTTTCCATAATTTTTTTAGAAAAATTTTTGTACAAGAAGAAGCCTACATTTGACCTTTCAAGCAGAACTTGTCTTAGAATGTATAACTGAAGAACACAAAAGAAGTAGCCTAGGTTTTTACTTCAAGCGATCCAGAACCAAGAAAAATCTGGAACTAGGAAAACAACTGTAGGACTAGGCCTAATGTAATATCAGGCTACTGCCTGTATGTACGAGTACCAAATACCATGAATACAGACATCACCAAGTTTCCCTAACAGTGGTTTATTAGGCCAACCCACCCAAACGTGACCACCTATGTACGTGTACCAGTACCAATGTCCTAAAAAGTAAAATTTAACAGTGAAAAGTATTGAAATATTTAGGCTAGGGGGCCTACTTCGAAAACAATCTCATAGTCATACTACTAGTCAGCCAGTAGTAGGCCTAGGCTTAGCCTACATGTAGGCCGTAGCCTCTTTACTAGCCCTTGGCCTACATGGCCTAGGGCCTATTGGTTGGCGTGACATCACTATGGACTTTTAACACACAGCATTGGGGCAAATTACCCTTCGTGCTATTCAATAGTGTAGCTTAGGCCTACAGAATTTCCCGTACATCCGCAAGAATGTCATACTCATGTTGAAGGGTAAATGCACAGGGTGTCAACGGTCAAGTGAAGTTCAGATATGGAACTCTTTCCATACAATTGGGTTCATTACCATTAGCACCCTGTTCCTATAGTAAGGAAACAAAGTCCACTTTCTCAAACTAACATTTTGACCTTAAGGAACCATTTCTTAATCCTGATAGGCCTAGTTTTGGTAAATTTTGACAATATTTAAGAGAGAAAACTTCAAATTTGTAACCCGAGTTTGGCAAAAGACAACCACTCAGTCGAATCACGCCATTTCGTTTTTCGTCTGGTTACCTGACTCAGGCATTTGGGATTCATCAAAACAAATCTCCATCCAAGTCAAGGAACAAGACTAGCCCCACTAGTATGGCATAGACTCAGGCTACCACTCCATCCTTAGCCACACATCCCTATACACAATTTGCGTGTCGGCATAGTGAAAAAGTTCGGCGCACCCTCTTATAATCGTAGGCGCAATTTTTTTGCACACAGAAAAGATCCTTAGCCTCTCCGCTTTCTTAGCGCCATTTATTGAATGATTTCGCTCACGTTTATCAGGTATTTTCCATTCTTTTGGCCTTCACCCATTCCATCTCACGGGCTCACTCTCACAGTCGCCATCTTTAAAATAAGGCCGTTGAACATTACGTCACTTGACCCCTCACTGTCTCGATGGCTCTTCCATGTCAAGACATATCTAAACTGCTGCCCAAGTTTTGGAAGAGCCCACTGGTACATGTAGGATTGTAGTATCTTATCGCTCACTCTGTGTATTAAATAAATGGCGCTAAGAAAGCGGAGGATCATTTCTGTGTGCACAAAAAATTGATTATAAGAGGGTGTGCCAAACTTTTTCACTACGCCGACACGCAAATTGCGTATACGGATGTGAGGCTAAGGATGGAGCAGTAGGCCTAGTGAGAGTCCGTGCCACACTAGTAGTGGGGCTGGCATGGCTAGGAACCAGACTACATTCGCTTATTTTTCGCTCACAGCTCTCTTCCGAGATCGAGAGGTCATGTACACTTCCGTTTTTACCCAAACGTTTCCCTCAAAACCAAAAGCACAGTTCTCTTTTCTTTCTAATGTGAAAGAGGACATCACCAACAACTTGTTTAGATACATGTAGGCCTGGCCCTAGCTTAGGCCCAAGTTGTTTCGAAAAAATAGAATTTGTTCCCTTATAACAGGAACAGGGTGCTAAAGGTAATGAGCCCCCAGACAAATTGAATTAGGAAGGCAGGACGTGTTGAGTCTCTGGACCATGACTTTGTAACATTTTCAACATGAAAGCCATTACCTATTTTATTGAGTGTACAGGCAGGCACATGACGGGCCATATGATCCGACATGTCCGACGGCTAGTTGGAATTGTGCGTCGGAAAATTTCCACATTCTTACCTCAGAAACTGAGAGTGATTTCGGAATAACATTGTCATATACTTCTAGAAACCTTTCTGCATCTTCCTCTTGAAAAGCAAGGGCCAATAGTATTGCCAAAAGTTCGAAATTTGGATCCAATTTTAGCCCATCGCCGTCTTGTTCTAAGCTACTCGCTGCCATTTTAGGCGAAACATTGCGATGTGTTGTTATGGCCGACTGCGCATGCTCAGACCAATATCGAAAGAGGTTCCGAGTGCATTGAACGAATGGAGCGCAGGTTCAGTACACCCAGTGGTAAAAAACAACACGAACTGCGATAGAAATATTTTAGGTTTTGGCTGAAAAATTGATCCAAACTTAAATCTAACAACAGTGACACAAAAAAGCACTCACCTGCCTCCAGACAGTATAAACTGTATGTGAATTGCGGGGGTGACCGCGTGCAGGGCGTGCCACTGATGATTTTGGGTGATAATGTCCGCTGTGATTGTGGGTGGTGTGTGGAAGTCATGTGAAATGCCCGTTTACTTGTTCAGTGAATGCAATATGGCCGAGTACCGAATACACGGTACAGCATGAAAGACCAAACGCTTTGGCCTGCATGCACACTTGCGTGTACGTGCGCGCGCGCGGCTGAGGGCGCTTTGATCATTCGGTCAAAGGTTTAATTGTTTCAGGTATACTTTTCTGTATTAAACAACTTACTGTTCTTGACCTCATCGTATCTGATTATATGTATTTTCTTATAAAATAAAGAAGTTCTTTCACGTAAGCTTCCCTCTCCCTGGCCGACTCATGAATTAAGCTAGCTACTTGCATTGGGTATGCTGAGCCCGCTTTAGGACGGGTTTAGGGAGTTCAAAATGCCGAAAATGATGGGAGGTGGTGAAAAGGAATTTCAGCTTTAGACCAATTTTCTCCACCTAATAGATCAAGAATGCCATTTTCTGAGCCCTCGCTTGATGGGGGGGGGTTAGACTGCAGGGGGAGGAGGTAGCAGAAACTAGAAGTGTTTTTGCTCTTGAAATATATAAAAAGAAAAGCGATTTCGGGGACTCTTCCATTTCCCTTCATCCAAAAACGTGTACAAAATCCACACACAACAAAGCATGCACTTTAAAAGAAATTAAAGCACCTATATAATGTAGATGGACAAGAACAGACCAAAATTAAAATTTTAGAGGATCAAAAAACAAACAGAAAAAATGAGGGGCAAAAAAATGGGGGAATTTGTTGAGTTGGTCTTATGTGACTTTTGAACGAATCTTTGTTGTGTGTGGATTTTGTACACGCTTTTTGAGAGACGAGATGCGTAGGTGTGGTGCCTTTACATTCCTTTGAGAACTTTGTCGTCGTCGATGTCATCATGAAGGAACTGACTGAGGAATGGGACAGACTACCACAAGCTCATGATAAGTTCCTCCAGGCAATCTGACTTCACTTTTTTCATGGCGCATATAGTGCTTGAATTAACACACAAAATGCTGGAGAAAATTAATGAACATTCCCGCCCTGGTCAGGAATCTCGAAACCCTCCCCCTTCCGTCGCAGAAAATAAACCAAGTCTGCTTGGCTGCTAATTAAAGGGGTCACACAGTTGAAGTATACAGCCGCATGCAAAGTAACTTCGTTTGCAGCATGTACGAGTTAATAAAGAATTTCTCCTTATGTCTCTGACATTAATTATAATAGGACATGCTTTGAAAACAATTTACAGTTCAATGTCCATCACAATGACGTGTTTAATACCAACAAAATTAATGTACCCTTTAAGATAATCGCGATCGTCCCAGTGCCAAGGGGGAGAGCGACGACGCACATCCGCGTTTTCACTCGGTCAGCAAGCCATGACCTCTGCCCGTGCTTAGCTGCAGCGCGCGCAATCCTTGCCAGTCAGCTCCATGTTCTGTCTTTCCTGTGGTTCGATCTTCACATCATGTCGTGCCAGGAATAACTTGACTTCCAAGTTTCGCATGTTCGGTCGGTAATGAGAGAGAAAAGTTGCATTCTAAGTCTCCTCCAGTGAAGTTGCCGCGTCTTTCTGGGCCGAGGACTCCCCTCCCAAGAAGGTGAGGAGTTTTCTCCTTAAAATATTACGGTTCACGGTTCATTGTTTATAAACTCTGCGACTTGTCTCTCCAACTGAAGTTTGATATGCCTTACCAACTCTTCAGCGGGACCTTCCAACATGGGACAATTCTGTCACGGGGCATTCGCGCTTTCTCCACGCAACGATTCGCTTTTGTCTTGTCAGCCCTCTGAAAGTTGATCATCAGACTTACCGACCTTAAATTTGACTAATGTGTTCCCCTTTAGCGTGGATTGGCATACCCGGACGCCATTACTTTGAGGGAACTACGTAGAGGAAACTGGGACCATCGCGTCAGTGCCATGTTTAAAACAAAAGGTCAACCGACACGACACACGTGTGCACGTGTACGCGATATGCACCCCAAAGTAGCAGCCATCCCGAAGTAATATCCATTATGTAAAGCTATGCGCGGCATCAGTAACTTTCACTGGGACATCATGTTAGCGACATGGAAAGCGTTATCTGTTGCGTGGCTTTCAGCGCAATATACGTGTTTCTTTCCTTTTTTTGTATCATGAGACTATCAATTACAATCACGACTGTGCATCACAGTTTCCTTCAGGATTTTACGATTTTGTTTTCTTTTTCAATATCGAGTGACTATCAATTACGATCTTGGGAACGGGGATTATCCTCTAGGCTACTTTGGACCCAGGTTGATTAGGCCCATGGGCATCGTGGGGACAAGAGGGGAACTTTCCCTCTTATCTTAAAATTGGAAGGGGGGGAAGGAGACTGAAATCACAAAGTTCCTTGGAACGAGTTCGAACGCCTCGGGATTGACCCATTTCACTATTTTATATTTGGTCAGTCTTTTACTGTGCTCCCCCAGAAAGAGCTATGCCCCCTTCCAAGGGATGCTCGTGGCTACAGGATCACCCCTCCCACCCCAATTTTTCCACCGACCTCACCCATATGCCAATTTGTTTGTTTGTTTGTTTCTTTTTACTTCATAGACTGAGTATGCATGATATGCCTCATCGATCAAGAGACAACTGTACAGCGATAGGACGAACAATATTTTCACAAATCAGCAACAGAACGTGACGAGAGAACAAGGAATATATACAATTCTGAAGACGGCACTGCATGCCTGGGCCCAAACTCGAGAAAGTTACGGAAGAATTAACGAGAGGAAAAAATTGTACCTAGAAGATGACCTGGGAAGTCTTTCACTAATAGGAAAAGTCTGCAAAGGGGGCATTCCAAGAACACTTTGCCATGGCACCGCACTGCTTGTATGTGTGCCGCGGAGGCAAAAACAAAGCCCGAGGAGTCTGGGCAGTGCATCCCATCGAAGCAGGAGTGCGATTTGGTCCACTCCAAGGGGACATCGTACCGATTGACCTGTGTACAAAGAAGACTAATCCCTGGCCGTTCACGAATACATGGGAGGTAAACATCTCGGCCTATTTAACTTTTTTCTTTCAGTTTTCTCGAACTTACAACCATCCAAATATGTATTCTTTTCCAGATCTACCTGAGTCATGGATTTCGTATTTATTTATTTTTGATTAAAAAATAATAAATGCAGATATATTGCGACGGCAAACTGTGCCATTTCCACAGTCTCAGCGACGGCTCTAGGACAGACTGGCTTCATCACGTGACATCCACCTATGCGTCGTGGACTGGTGTCAACATGGCTGCCTACCAATGCAGAGGGGAGATCTATTATGTTACCACAAAGGCCATAGGTCAAGGTCGGGAGTTGATTTTGGGACTGAATAATATTGAGGTTGACCCAGCATGGATAGAGAAAGAGAAGTCGATAGGTAAACAAAACAATTGGTAGGCCTACAAATCCATTCTGTCCTTCGCGGAAGGACTTTTCCACAATCTCAGCTTAATATGTGTAGCACTTTTTTCGCCCTTTTGGACTCCAGTGATAGTAACTATCTTACTGTCAAACAGGGGTGAATAAATCACCAAGGCAGCATCCTAGCACCATCTTTGCATTCACAGGGTCGCAACACGATCACTTCCACATGTATTTCAGGGTTTCTTGCGTGTAGGCCTGCTAAATCTTTAAGAAACAGTTAGGTCTTCTTTTCGAAAGAAACTTTGCAAACATGCTTTAAAATATCTTAGATGAAGTAACAAACCTTTGGTGGAGATTTTCTTGTCAATAAAAGTTCCGTTTTCTTTCATTTCCCTTCAAGGGTTTACTAGTTGCAAGAGATGCATCGTATGCAAACGCCACCATGAGGACACACCCTTGGTAGCGCGGCGCAGTGACTGGCCGTTCCGGGCTGAAAACGAAGGTATTCATTTCGACGACAGCTTTCCTATTCTTAAAGTCTCTGCTTTTGAGGTTCACAAGTGGCTAAAGAATCCTGGCATAAGTAGAGTGAAGCTCAAGAAAGATCTCACCCCGAACAGCCGTAGGCCGGTTTACCGTGGGTTTTTTGTCTGCCAGCTGTGCGGTTGGAAGTTCAAGACGTTCGAGCGCTATTCATCCCACAAACGGAATCACCAGATACGGTACCTGAAGTTCAGGCTAAAGCCCAGTACACAGCACGCAAAGTCAAGGGAAGAAGAAGGGATTTCTTCCCTGGAATTCAGTGTCGAGCACCACAGACACGACTTCTCGTCAAGCAGAGGGAATTGCCGGGAAGAAGTTGCTCCCAGGGTGAATAAAGAAGAGGGAGGACAGCTGACTGTCGTTTCACGAGAGACAGGGAACACCACGAAGAATTCTTGCGAGGAAATGGACTCTGGCTATCAAGATGCCGAGTCACTGACGGGACATGAAGTAGATAACGTTAACTTTAGCGAAACGGTCGTCGAAAAGAGGATGAGTCCGAAAATAATACCCGAAAAAGACTACACGTTGCCTTGGCGTTTACGTCAGAGAAAACCTGCAGCCAGATACCAGAAACGGTCCCACCAGCAATGCAGAGTGTGCACACACAAAGTTCAAGGAGCCACAAACAAGAGGGCCTCAAAGCCAAGCCATCGTCCAGCAGAAAACGGCAGTATCACAAAATCTGACAGATTTTCTTGCACAAGGTGTAAAAAATCCTTCAGCAGCAATGCCAATCTTGAGAAACACTTGCGTGTTCACACAGGAGAAAAGCCGTACGTCTGCAGCTACTGCAACAAACGCTTCAGCGAAAGTAGCAATCTCAACACCCACCTCCGCGTTCACACGGGCCACAATCCGTACAAATGCCAGACTTGTGACAAGCAATTCAAGTACCTGAAGGGGTTCAAACTCCACATGAGCCGCCACGAACGGGCGCCAGTCACGTACAAATGCAACTTCTGCGACCGCGAGTTCAGCCAGAAGGGACCTTGCAAAACGCACGAGAAGAGCCACCAGCGCGAAAAGCCGTTCAAGTGCCGCGTCTGCAAAATGAAATTCAAAAGGGAGGGCGGGCTACAGATGCACGTGGACAAAATTCACCAGTCGTGCCATGGCGCCATTCTGCGAAGAAAGCGCGGAAAGACGACAGGGGTTGGAGAAGAGATCGAAAGTACCAAAGACAGACACCGTTACCAGTGTAAAGAATGCGGGAAAGGCTTCAGGTACAACTATTCGCTCAAACAGCACATGCGGATCCACACTGGGGAGAAACCGTTCAAATGCACCCAGTGTGACGCCACATTCTCCCAGAGCTCCAACCTAACCAGCCACAGGCGGATACACACAGGAGAGGCGCCCTACAAATGCAATCACTGCAAGAAAACGTTTACGTGCGCACAGAACCTCCGCAGTCATCTGCGGGTTCACACCGGGGAGCGACCGTACAGGTGCCCTCAGTGCCCAGCCAAGTTCGCTTACAGCAGCTATCTCAAGACGCACTCCCTCGTCCATTCCGACAGAAAACCACTCAAATGCAAAGTATGTGATAAGGAATACCGGCACCCCACCAGTTTTAAAATTCACTGCCGAACACATTCGGACGAGCAAAAACCCGGGAATTCCGGCTGAAGAGAAGACAGGCCTACATGAATATTTCAAAGCAGAAACCAGTTTAAGCACTGAGCCAGACTTAATACCCGTACCGATGATCAGCTTACCGTACTTGAAGGACTCCCTGTTCGCGTTTTTCACCGGTATTGTCCCGCTATCGGCACTTTGGATATCTGTACCATACCGATACATTTCAACCTGGCATTGCAAATAGAGACTGTCAAAATCGCTGTGTTGGAGTGCGTGCCTCTGCAGTGGTGAACAAACACGGCTGGGCTTTCAGCGCCAAAAGGCCGCGCAGAGCTTGTAACTGGAGTGGAGCGAAGGGCGACCTCTTTTGACGTCTGCAGATGTGATTATCGAAAGCCTGAATTTTTAATTTAATCATTGGATTTTTAAACCGAATTCTAACCGTTTTGATTGAAGGGTTTTCTAAACCGAGCCCCAAACACTGTATGCATTACAGCAGTATCTTATAAGCTGTTCAATGAACTGCTTGTTGAAGCAAAAATCTGCAGCATGTTTGAATGCACATTATGCAAGCTGAAAGTTACAAAGTACATGTACATTTTTTATGAAAAGAATTAAGAATTTCAGAGGGACTGAACAACAGCAAAACAAACAAACAAACTCCTTCGACTTTAAGCCTTTATTGGTTTGCGTCCACACGAACTTGCATCTAGAATAATATATTCAACTTCAAACTACCACTCATTTGGGGGAAAATTACCAGCCCACATATTTGCAAGCAGAATAAGGTACCAGCAACTTTTGAGATGAGAATACCATTCACACTATTGATGGTATGTAAATAACACCTGCAATATGCCAAGGATCAAATCCCAATTTTCTATTTTGTCTACTGCATCTGTTTTTTTTTCTGTTTTCATCCATTGTTTTTCTAAAATAATGTTGGGAATGCACACCACAAGCAGATTATTTTTATATCCAGCATTGCCACGTGAGAAGTTTGAATGAATTTGTATCAAAAGGTTTGAATTTAAGTCTCACTGACTTGGCAGCAATGAAACAAGCATAGCTTAAACATGATTATAGCCTTTCTGTTAAGCATACGGTATTCAGAACAAGAAGTAAGTATAACTCATCCTGTAACTGCTTTCATTAAAAAATAAGATAAGCAAGTCTAAACTCTGTATTACATTCATTTTGACACATCAGTGGAAGTGCTGAAAGAGAACATGCACAGTAAATTCAATATGGAATAAACAAAGAAAACCATTCTTAGTTCATGCTGCAAGACTTAGATACACTGATTTCTGTGTAATTGTAACATGTACATTATTATGGCAATATTTATCATCAATTTATCTGAACACAGTCAAAGAAAAGTCATATATGCATTTGTGGTTTATAGAACCTTGGTGACCTACCCAAACAAAATTCGAAAATAACATGCCATTAATATTAATAGTAATAATAACAATAATGTACCAGAACGCAGAGCTGATTCTCACAGTGTAAAACTATTTGATTTCCCTGTTGAAATAAAATCCTGTAATCCACAACCACCAGGTGCAAAACTCTTCCCTTTTACAGAAAAAAAACCAAAGACAACTACAAACAGAATAAAACTCCATGGATCTGAAATATAATTTCAAGCTTTTCACTCACAGGGAAGATTGGTGGGAGGTACAACTCACAGAAAGGGCCCACTACATGTAATAAAAAGCTACAAGGAATTAGAAGTGGCCACCCATTCACATTTCATAAAATTATTGTACTGCTGTTCAAATGCTCATGATGTGAACAGTACTTAAACACTCCTAGTCACACTGGGATAAGACTTAAAGTGTACATGGTTTCTGCACCATGGACTGATGTACTGTGGGCACAAAGTCTATATGGGGTGTCCTGAAAGGTAAATGATAACTAGGTTTCCTTTTTGGGACACCCCAAACATAATATGTGATACAAACACAATCAACTGGAAGAACACTGTACGTACATCACATTAGCCATGTCTTGAACACTCCATAGCCTGACCTTCACTGTGTACCAGTGTGAAGGCTATAAATGCAATGCAACCCGAGAAGTGATTTCTATTTTGAAATGAGAATCAGCGTCCGCTTCAAGGTCAAAACTGGCCAGGCCAAATTTATTCCATCCACTTTGAACTGCAAAAGGGAACTAAACCTTTGTCAGAACACAAAGTGCTCTACTGTTTCATTGAAACTACTGCCTCAAAGCCTATTCCCAAGTATAAAGCATTTAACTTATTGCCCTCCAGAAAACACTCCATCTGTGACCAACCCCCATTAGCTATGTTTTGTGCCATATGTTGGAGGGGGATGGGTAAATCCCCCACACCTTCCTTGGAACTCCTATGTCACCTGGTGGTACATTACATACAAGTCCATCTGGCATTTCACAGTGCAGTCAACATTGTACACTGTATTAAACATTATATAGAGCATTCTTCTCCAACTTACATTGCACTCAATTCTCATTCCTTCATTGCCCTGTTATGCCAGATATTTACTAAAATAATTCCATTCAGAATTAGGTTCAGGGATTCTTAGGCCCACTTCAAATGTCAAATTTCTGCCATGTCTCATTCAAATGGTGCAGAATTTGAATTAGACACGGTAGAAAGTCGACGTTTAAAGCAACTGCTGACTGTCTGCTGAAGTTTGCCAGGTCTTGCTGGTTTAACGGCAGAAGAGCAGCATGGCTTCAAACGTTGGGTATCTGCGGTGTCTGATGCAATTGGCATGTCCCAAGTCAGAATTGTACTGGGACCATTTGAAAATGTGCATGCACCCACTCCAATTCAGTTCAGCATTAAAACCAATATATAATATTTTAGTCTTTGGTTTTTGGAAAACCCTGCTAGTGACTGACACACCCAACAAATTTCTGATGATGGATTCACAAACTTTTTCAAACTTCACCAACAATATTGGTCAGTTTTCGGCAACAGCACGATTACAATCTCCACTGGAGAATCTTCACAAGCATATCCCGACCAATGCCTTGGAGATGGGGATTTATGTAAGTGTTTCACTCTAATCTTGTCTAATGTGAGAAAGGAACATTGCCAAGGTCAGTTTATGAATCATCATTTTCTCTGAATTCGCATTCAGAATTATACTTCTGGCCAACTTACATCTTTGACCAAATGTCAATCCGACAAGATCATTGGAGATTGTGAAATTTTCTCTTGAAAGGTGCAGCAGGAGTTTTGAAAGGATAATCAAAACTCTCTTAATATCACCTTCAATAAATTCAGGGTTCCTGCACCAGAAGGATAATTAAATTCCGTGACTTTTCCATGACCAAATTATATAAATCCATGATCCAATAATGCAATTTTTTGGACTAGTTGAACTTCTAAAGTTAAAAAGAAAAATTTCTCATTTTACGCACTTGTTTCTGATAACAGGAATCACACACAGTGTTTGAAAAATTCCATCACTTTAGTCATTATGACAAAATTCCATGACTTGTCCAGGCCTGGAAAATGAAAACAAATTTTCATGACTTTTTCATGACTTTTCCGGGCCACAAGAACCCTGTAAATTTGATCACAGAAAAACGAAATATCTTGTCTTCTTCCCTGGTGCATCATGCTTAAAGACTGCCTTACATTCAAGAGTAAATAGATGTTTAAAGCCACTGCAGAACTTTTTTGCTTTTATGTCAATTGCAAATTAGAAACAGCAGAAGTTTGACATTTGAAGTGGGCCTTAGAGCCTTTATTATATGTGTCTATGACACAGATTCATCATTAACAGTGACAGTGTTAAAATTGGGATAGGCAATAATTAAATGGCATTAAAATGAAGCAAAACCTTTGGCAATGATACTTAGAACAATAAAAGTTAATAAGGATTTGTATATTTGAATTTCGAACAAAGCAAGGGTCCAAGACAAAAAAAAAAAGCTGGTGACATAATTAAGCCAACCCAAAAAATCCCTACTGTGAAGTATACTTAAAACAGAAACAGACAATGGGGAAATTAAAGACTCTATCTTCAAACTAAAAAATTAGATTCTGTTGTGGTTACTGTTATTCTGGAGTGCTTTGATGTCCTGTAAATGCTGGTGGGGAAACAGATTAGTTATGCCACCACAATGGTTGACCTCATCCAAAATAGAAAAATTCTCTGGAGTGTGCATATTCGCTCTCTAAGAAGAAACTCCAGATAACATTACTCAACTAGACTCCACCGGTCCACACTCAGCAGACTTTGAAGACTGGTCAAGCTCCCAATGCAAACAAGACTACTTCTGTAACACAACTTCTGCAAATGTTACCTCTCAAGTGACACTCAGTGTGTTTATGAGGAGGTAAGCTTCAATTTTTGATGGTAAGGATTTAGGCGGACTGTGGACTGGGTCAGATCTACCTAATATGCATATCCTCCAAATGTGTCACAGCCTGGGTATGGTGGCAGGTTTCCGTGCAGTTTCCGTTCTCTCCACCATTAAAGGAGGATGTGAAGATTAGTTAAGATTGCCTCTCTCTGCCTGGGCCTGCTCAATGGCCTCAAACAGAGACTTGAAATTTCCCGCGCCGAAACCCTGCCAAAGAAAACAGGATAATGAATTGTGTCAAATCAAAACACTGGTTATTTGGATGGAATGAACCACAGAGTAACCTTAGGATGAGTGATGCTATTCTATTCTGGATCTGGATAAATAGTCTGAAAAGCTCAAAATGAGCATCACTCAGAATGGAACTGGGGGTGTGTGTTCATTCCACTGGGGGGTTATTCACACTGTCTAGGGAATTCCTGTACAGATGAACCACTCTGAGCATCTGATCCATAATACCTGGCATTACATGGGTTTGAAATAGTCCAGTTTCACCAAAATTGGGAAGGGGTCTTAGTGTCAGAATGTCAAGAATTTGAGCAGTTAAATCTCTTTCTTGGGGGGTCACTTGCTTATTAGTTTTAATTTATGATTTTATAAATTGTACTGTCATTTTGCTGTCTGTTGATGTCCACTGATTCTGGCCGTTATTCGTTTTGGTTTCCTTTAGATCACGTCCTGTTTTGAGCCAGGATCTTGTACATGAGTGACAAGCCATGTATCACAAACTTTCTGTTCTGGATTTCTGTTCAATCAGTTTTTCCAAAAAAAATAACATCAATGGGCCTTACAATGTGTGGGAAGGTGGACTGGTGAAGGGATTGGTTCAGCCTAATGGCACATGATCAGTGGAGGGGTGAATGGAAAAGAGGGTATGGGCTCCCTCAAATCTACACCCAGTAAACAACCCTTGTTCTTACTTGATGGTTATGGCGTTGAATAACCTCAAGGAACAGGGTAGGGCGATCCTCGACAGGTTTGGTGAATATCTGCAGCAGGTAGCCTTCCTGGTCAAAGTCAATCAGGATGTTCAGCTTCTCAATCTGACAAAGTTCAAGTTGAAAGCACAGACAAGTGATGCAAGTCCAGAATTTCACATTTGGAACTTAACAGTGCGGCAGTGTGCCATTTTACTTAGGAGTGCAACTGTGGACACAGATATAGATTCAGAACAGATAATCCAGAATTCTAAGGAGAGATTAGATGATCGGACGTTTTTGTAGTGCATATAAAATGGAGCGGCACTGAGCTGCAACATCTCAACCCAATGCTAAATCTGAACAGATTCAATTAAAATTGGAATCAAAGACAGTACCAGCTCTAGCGGAGAACTTCTTTTTTATATCCAAAAGGTGACAGTAATTACCACGTCCAGGTCCTCCGTGACTTTTATCTTGGCCGACTTGAGCCGCTCCCTCAGGTTCTTATAATAGGTGGAAGGTATGGTCAAGAATTCCTGGCCTCTGGCCTTGAGGTTGCCAACAGCATCAATGATGTTGTCTGTGTTCATAGCAATGTGCTGGACTCCTGCAGTTCCATAGAAGTCCACGTACTCCTGTGGCAGTGAAATTGGTTACAGCAAAACTGAGGCCACATCCGAAAAGGGCTTCCAGAGCTACGGCTAGGTCTATTGTCTATGCGTCTCCACGCATTTCGAATGGAGCGAAGACCTAGACCTAGCTCTAGACAAGAGATTCGGATGCAGCCTGAAGTGGGTGAGTGAATTTCAACTTGCTCGGGATCTGTGCACAGACTCAAACAGGGGCAGTGAAGCCTTGCCATGTCCATGTCTGAATTACCAGGCTGTGGCCTGGAAGTAACAGACAAGTCTACCAGAAAGGGATGACGCCAAAGGTTACCATCAACCCTGTGTCATCTTCAGCAGTATTCAGGAACTGACCTATAACAGTTGGCAAGTTAAGCCTGCCCCAGAGACAACCCTGTGGAATTGTTTACATTGAGTTTTGTTTGTCTCAGAATTTGCATGTCAAGCGTCCATTTTGTGTATCATCCAATTGTACATTTTTTCACACAAGCCGCATTAATGTGATTCTACCCTGATAGGTCCATTTGATGCAGCCAGTGACAGGGAAGATAGGCTGGTCCCCAGCCACATCATCCTTTGCTGTGAAAAAGAGAGGGGGATAGGAACCAGTTCAAAATAGAAACTGTCCTCATCTGCAAGTTTATGTACGCAGAAGCAAAGAGAAGCCACAAAGGACAGCACCATCTATTGCCAGATTGTGACCAGTACTTTCTCCTTTCAGAAACACCCTCTAGTGATAGACGGTATCAAAGCTCCCTGCAGTTGTGAAATCAACGCAATCGAGAGGGGCAGGGGGGAGACTTAAGGTCCCCCACAATATACACCTAGATACTTTAAACTACTGGCTGAGATAGCCGTACATTCCAGTCTCCCTTGGCACTACTGGGGGCTTACTTATCATGAGCTCCCTTCAACATCAAATACATGGAGCAGTCTAAAAATAAGTAAAAGTATTGAAACCAATTCTGTGATTATCCTCCCCCCCGGTTTAAACTGGTGCAGCAATAGTAATAATTGAAAAAAAAATGCTAGAAATCTTATTAACTGGCCACAATGTGTGACAAATTTTTTTGACTGTGAAATAACTACCTGGATTTGGCTCTTTCGTTTGCCGTTTGCAGGTTCGTTGATCGGCATCTTGATTGTCTCCTCATAGTTGGTGACAACAATAGATCGCAGTGCACTGAACTCGGTGTGAATCTGCAACAAAACCACAAAACACTGCTCTAAACAGTCCAAAACTAAAATGGCGAAGCTGCCATGGCTCGCTACTTTGTATGAATCCAAATTTCTTTGCCGCAAAAATAGCTCATGTTAAGAGTCATCCATGCAAATTACGAATGGTGCTGCTAAATTTAAAAAAAATCATGCAAACCAAGCCCCAGCTTGCCACAATTTTTACAAACAGCAAGGAAAAAAAAATAAAATTGGCTGATAAATGACTACGTCCCGGATGCAACATGAATGGCACTTTAAAGGTTTTGCCCCCCCCCATCATCCCACCAATCTCCTACTCCGTCCCCTACCCCATTATCCAATCCATCTCCTACTCCGAGCCCTCATTCCATCTTCCCATCCATCTCCTTCCCTTTCCCCTTTGTACCCACTCATGTGTGCATACAGCACAGGAGTCTACAGTACTCATATATATACATGATGTACGCGAAACACAAACCCTGACATTATTTTGGGATTTGATTTCTTCATTGAATATGTACACGTATGTTAACAACACTTCTAAAACACTCCCGTGCACATGCAGTTCTAAGGCTGATAAAACTCATGATTGAAACAAACAAGCACAAATGACACATACATATACTACTATCCATATGTATCTACAAGCAAAAAGTTTGACATTGGGCGGACGGCTGAATGTAGGGGCGCCCTAATGGATGGACAGACAGATGGAACCCTCTGGTGTGAATGGTAGAAATATATATTTTTTCACATTCTGCAACAATTACCTGTTTATCATCTACTGACCAGAAGCGATGGAAAATCAGGTTTTTCTCATACCTGAAAAGAGGGGTTAAAAAGACTTTTTTGTAATTAAGTACAACATTAGCGCGAGTGAGCAATCCACAAAGACACAGGCTACGTAACATGCTTTTGTATTAATGGCAGTTGACGATGTCAGTCACATCTTCCTATCTGGAAATGGAGCATCCTTTAATTAATTTGGACCAGATGAGGTCGAAACATGCAGGGATTCTCCGTGTCAGAACATGTTCTGGGATACTCTGAATGCAGTAATGCAAGGCATCCGTACTTGTTCTCATACTCAAAAGGTTCCCACTGAGTTTGTACACATGCAGGTGCTTAAAGCGGCCTGTGGAGGATGAGCGTGTGTCGCCCTCAAGCAGCCACTGGCTACGGCCATGCATTGTAACATTCTCCATTTTTGAAAAGCAAACAGTAATCAAACAAAAGAAGTGTTGCACGAATCTTAACAAATGAGCCTTAAGGGTCAGCATTTGCGAAGTCCAACTATATAATAAGGGACTGTGTTCATGACACCTTCTTTGAAACAGCTTGTTTTGGCATTTTCGGCCAAAACATGCAATGTGAAATATTACCGTTGGCAAGGGTTTGTGAGCAGCAATGTAAAGCCTTTTATCTCCTTTGACTTACCACTCAGCAACTGTCTCCATGTCATCTTCTGGCTGGTTTCCAACCACGTGATCAACAAATTTCAATTTACCAGGAGGCCTGCACATATAATTTGAAGAACCAAACTAAGTTAGACGCCATGGACATTTATGAAAGGGAGGGAACAAAGTATTACACCTTTGGAGGGAAAAGTTCATGTTTCTAATCTTTCTGTGAAATCATACTTAAGCATGTGCTTCTCTGTCATTCAGTGCACTGACAATGACATTTACCTGAAGATTTAGGTATGAAATTTAAGTGTCAAAAAGACCCCCCCCCAAAAAAAAATTATCATGATGGCAAGTGTAGTCCAGGCAACAGAGCCCCATTTTACAAGGTTACACTTACAAGAGGTTCACAAGAGGATCCTTATACATGGCTGGCTTGTATCCTGGCAAAAATAGGCCCTGGTAATTGCGTCTCTCCACAAATGTATGAGTAGTATCCCCGTACTATGAAAAGGTAAAACAGACACCCATAATCACTTTCAGAGGTGTATTTGGACATAAATTGGCAGTGTTACGGTTACTGTTTTAGACTCCAATGCCGTTTGAGAGTAAACTGAGGATAAATTCATGACTAAACTGCTTCTTCCTGACAAGGAATTGGCTCCGATTTAATACCGGGGTGAACAGTTAATTGGCTGTTCACAATCTCAATTTTTCTGCTCTTTTTTCTAAGGGGCACTTTGGCAATTATTTTAAGTCCAATCAATTACAAACTTGGTATAGTAATTGATCATCATCAGAAGATGTGCCCCGAACCTTTTTGTAATCGTGATGTCATCAGGGGTCACGTGACCTCAATTCAAATTTTCGTTCTTTACAGTCTAATTACTAGTAAACTATTTGACGGATTTAACTCAAATTTGGTATGCACATAGTCAGGGATGCGTTGCAGATGAAAATTGGTATCTTGACCTCACGTGACCGGAAGTTGTATTTGAAAACAAAAATCATATCTCGTGACTTATAACATCTAATCGGATTGATAATTTACAGTACTTTAGAAATGTATGGACAGACAATTGTATTACAATATTATTAAAATACTTTTTATTGTTTTCCACTTATCAATATATTTTTCTTTTTAGTCTAATAACTAGAAAACTATTGGCCCGCTACTTTAGCAACTTTGGATCTCCAAACTTATACCAATGGAGAACCCTTGTGCACAGATGATCCTAGAAACATGATGTCATGATGACATCATCAAGTGATTTATTATTGATTTTTCAATATTTGTTTCAGCCCATTGACTTTGTGCACATTCTCGAGGCACAATTTGGTAACTATAGTTGATCGTCAAAGTTACAACAAGCATTCCCCATAAAGCAAACATAATACATAAATATTTACGTCATGATGACATCATCAAGTGATTTATTATTAAATTTTTAATATTTACATATTCCATTAAATTTGATTGGGTATAGTATTCTTCAAATCATATACTGATACATATAGTCACCGTCAACAAGGTATTTTGTCCAATACCGATATATCGCTTTTTTCATAACAACATTATCAAAATGTCAAATGTTATTAATTTTGCACAGATTCTACTCTTTTGTTGCTTAAAAAAGGGCATGACACCTGATCTGCGTGGGGACGTATTAAGTCGTGAACCCCAAACACGACGTGTGACGAAGTCAATGACAACATCAGACCCTTAACTTACAGATCCCACATTGTGTCTGCCGATGAATGCGAGAGTGGTTTGGAGTGTATATCATACAGTGCACCTTTCTAGTCACAGTTACAAAAAGTGAAATTTCTTTTTTGCACCAAAGTGTCCAGCATAGTGCAACAGATGTCATCGATAGTGGTCCTGCACTCTCTTTCTTAAAGTTTGTACACAGAAAATCTGAAATGTGTAATCAATTATTGTTATGTTAGATATTATCAAAGAATTTTGTTTTTTAGAGTGGCAATGCATTTATGATTATGCAAATAAGGGGAGAGTTTGCAGACCATGTCAACGGAGAATACACTATTTAAGGCCCTATATCTCCTTAAGTACATGTCCAAGTAGGTTCATATCTTGCAGATATCTTGAAAAGAGAGTGCTTTAGAGGAGTCTTGACCCCATGTGATGATGACGTCATCAGGAGACAAGTCACATGACATTAAAGGCACACTCTTTAAGGCCCTATATCTCCTGAAGTAAATGTCCGATCGGGTTTAAATCTTGCAGATATGTATCTTCAAACGGGAGTGTGTAAAAAGAATGCAAAAAAGCCCTCTGTTCTGTTGTCAAAGAGACAAATAAGCTCTCATTTCTAATCCAATTAATTGCACACTTATGGTACTCATTTACAGTCATCAAAAGACAATGAAAAAAACTTTGGGACAGCTATGTGTTTGTTCACAAACACATTTTCTCTAGTTTGCTTTATGAGAGTGTGAGAGTTCTACTGACAGACCAAAATCTGCTCGCAGGTTCAACTGTATTGTGATTACAATGATTAGTGAGCGTACCGTTTGGATCTGGGCAAACATGACAGAGCCATCTTCATCAAACTCCTCCCATGGTTCCTTGACACTGGTGGCACCTCGTTCAACTGCTTTCTGTTGGCAGGGAAAAGACACAATCACAGTGTCATTCATTTTTCATAAAAACTGTAGTAATCGGAACTTATCTTCGTTATGTACATGTAAAGATGAAATGCTGCAATGCACTTTCTACATGTATGGATGATGCTTCAGTTCTCACACATACATGGGTACATTTATGCCCATCGGCAGGCAGGTAAGGCCTTAACAGGGCACGTGGAAAGTTTGTGACATTATCTGGGTCATCCTAGGTAAAGGACTGCAGGAGTTTGAAAAATAAAGCAAAGAATTTTAATCAGGTTAACATGATGCAACTGTGGACTTCACTGAGCTGTGCAGTGTGCCAGGTCAAACACTCGTCTTGGAACTCTACTCTATCATGCCAAACAGCTAAAAACAGCACAAAAGAACTTTAGACCACGGGGGCATTTGACTGCATTTAGCATGGTCACAAAATTCATCTTCCTTAACGATGATGGTACCTTGTCAACAGACACCTTTAACAATGGCCCTTATTCCTAAGGAAGCCATTTTTGATCTTGTTCAATGAATTTTTTTTATTTTTAACTATGTAATTGGATGGTATCAGACTATTTATAATTAATGATCATGTGGATTCAAATTTTCTCTTTCATGTTTTTTCCAAATCTGGCATTAAACACTAAAGTATGTTTTATTACAAATGTGAAATTATTACTCCGAGAAGACAGGTACTAATGCGATAGGAAATTTTATTTTTTCTTTGATAAGTTTCAAAAATGAAGAGTTAACCTCAGTTTCATTTCCAATATGGCCTACTCAAGAACATGGTCCATTTTTGACTACTGTTGCACAGGGGTCACATCCTCCACGTAACTACAGTGCATGTACCTTGTAGATGGATATAAGGTCTTCCACTTCGAAGGCAATGTCTTTCACACCATCACCATGCAGAGTCAGGTGCCTACCCATCTCTGTACATGAATTTTTGGAAAAAAGTATTGCATTAGACAGGGTTGAGAACAAGGCACATGCACATCAATTCTGCAGGTACATGTACCTCACGGTAGCGATTGCATCTGGGAGAGCATGTAGTAACCGTTGTCTAGTGCTGACAACAGCTGCAGCACATTTTCTGTTATAGAGCTATCACAGGTTTCAAATGGTACAATCCACATTGACAGGTAGAGACATTTGAACGGATAAATTGCTCATTTCTACAGGAATAATGCCACAGGCGCATCAGTTCCACCTGAAGAAGTGCATACAAATGAGCTACACTGTAACTTACATATTTAGACTCATTTCAATAAATCATTTAATAGCAGATTGAGGTTTTGACCAACAAATGTAATAAAAAACTATGGGAAAAAGTGCTCATATGGTTTAACTAAGTGTCGGGAGTTAGAGAGTATAAGGTACAGTTCTCACTCACCCTCGGTTGTTTTTCCCGATGGGTTCAATGGTGATTGGAAAACAAATATGATCTGTGGAAATTTCAGTTTGAGTTTACATTCAAGAACAAAGATTTATACATCAATGTATCATTTATAATGTCCTTTTACTTCAGGTACATGGATGTCCTGTTCCTCGTCCTTCTGAATGTCACCGAAATTTTACCGAAATTTGTAAATGGGTGTATATAAAACTCATAGCAGGTGCACAGTCATGTTATTCAAAATGTCACGCTAAATTACACAAATCAATTTATATGCTTCATAGAATGCAGACTGTGATAGAAACTGTAGCAAAAGACAGGCACACACAGGCACATGTGAATGGTTGAATATGAATTAACTGCCAAACATTCTGAATTTGTGAAAAATTCATTAGAAATGAAAAAAAAATCACATTTTCCATTAAAATGCCACCCTAAAAGAAATCATATTGGTACTCCCCAGTAACAATGTCCATCTGAACCAAGCCCTGAGCGTCAACATTTAAATCTACATACAAATGCTCTGAGGACACATTGGGACAAACTCCTTTTCAATCAAGTCCCACCTAAGATGACCTCTATTGCAACTGATAAATTCACGTATGCCCTTTGAGTATAAACCCAAACCATCATCTATGACCATCCATCTGGACTACCAATGGAGGTGGCTGATAAGTTAATCGTTAATTCAACAAATTTATGCTTCCATAAAGCTTTATCACGTAATTACAAAGTTCACTCTGAACAAAATTGAAGATGCTAATCCTTACAATGCATGAAGTGTGCCAATAATACAAGCCAACATGGCTGAATTAACGTCTAGGAGGAATTCTACAACAGATAAATGTATCAAAGGAGAAGACAAGAAAACTTTGGAAAAATAAAGAAATTCCAGGGAAATGTAAAATTGCCATGCTCTTCTTTCTGCCTAATACAAGTTGGATGATGTACACTTTATTGAGTAATGATAAATAAGATCATTTTAAATCAACTTAGTTGGCTACTGAGTAGGAAACTGTGACGACTGCCAACCACTTATGTCTCTTAAAAAAAATCAACGTAATGTACAGTACTAAACAGAAGGTGATGTATGTATGTATAAATGTACATAAGTATGACTTTTTGCAGTTCAGAAGAAAAATTGACCAATCACCATTAAAAAAAATCCTACCTTGTCTTGTTTGACAGCATGCGAAACCACTTCCCTGCTTCCTGTTTCCAAGCCCTTGTAGGCATAGGGTTGGAACCCCATACGAGTACAATAGTACGAGGCTGCCTGCATAATTCAGTTCAATTCAGTTCAATTCAAATGTTTTTAAATATCTCCAATTGTGGCCCAGAGGCTGCACTCAAAAGACGATTCCATTGAACAAACAATTGAAACAATTGAAGTTCCATAACACTTAAATTATCACATGGGCAAAAGGCCGGTAATATAATAACCGGTATGTAAGCAAACAAACTCCATATAACCAAGAAAACAGGCACTATTCCACAAAGGGGGGTGGGGCCAACATGAACCAAACTACTTCAGTAAAATCACACACATCCAGCATTTCAAGTGTTGATATAGTGAGGGATAGGAACCTGGACGAGTACTGCTACTTTGGCAAGTTTATTGGCAAAGGATTGTAGGCAACTGGGAGATAAGCCCAAGATGGTGCATTTGGGTGGATAATTTTCTCAAACTTTTTCTGTTGTTGGCCTTTCATGGTGGTATGCGATGGTACCGAGTGCAAGATGCTAGAAACATTTGATGAAATTAAAGAGTGTGCAGCAAATCATGCGAGTCACCGACTGTGCATAAACCTGTGGCCTACATTTTGAATCTCTTGTTTAACTCAAAAGCGAACAAACGCCTCACTTTTTAAGCAGCATGAATAAAACTGGATCATGAAGAAGAAACAATCTGTTGATTGTATGCTAGGCTGAAAGACACTAGGTCGATCTAATGTTGTTTGTCATGTGTCGCTACAAGACTATTATTACAGAAGCTTAATTACTTTTCTGTATGTGGAGTGAAAATAAAAACTTTTTGACAAATAAAAGATGGGTAATAACTAACCTTTAGGAACCCAAATTTAGGAACATTTTGACTTTTGGGGTAAAAATACTCTCAGAGTCTCACAGAATTACACTGAATAAAGGTAATTTCATTTAAAAGGAGGAAACTTGATAAGATGTAACATGTTTTTTGGGGGTGCTTGAGTCCTCTAAACTCAGTAATTCAAGAAATCATATCTCTTAACATATATTGCAAATCTTGCATATTTCTTGGCCTAATGAATGGGATCCTGACTGTAATTACATCACAGGATACCGCACCCAGTTTGTTATTACACAGTAAAAGTACATGTAAACATAATGAGCATTTTCAATATCAGTTTGATCTCACTGCTTTTATTTCATATCATAAGCAGCCATTGAAGAGGAGATTCATCTTTGTTGCACATTTTTGACACAATCGTGACAGTTTCTCTAGACCCGTTTCTCTAGATGTTAACTGCAGCATCGGCTATGTTTATGGCTATCTGTATCATCATGAGAAGGAACAGCTTTCTGCTGAATCTTATTTCCCATGGAGAGCTACATGTACCTCAGCAGGATCAGCACAGTCTGGATAAGATCACTAACAGGCCAACTGATTAATATCATTCATACCTCTGGCTCACCAGACAACTTAACCAAAATTATCCATTGTCTTTCAGACAGGTCAACACGATCAAATAAGCAACAAAATATGAATGAATGAAACAATTGAGCCATGAACAAGTAGAGAAGCACTGATGTGGGTTTGATGAGCTAGATTCTTGTTTGTGAAGGTTTATGAAGTGGAACTTATCATCTTTTTCAACTTTGAAATAATCAACTTACCTGTGTGAAACATTAATGTCAACCACTGTGTACTGTGATTACATGTATGTGAAACTAAAATGTTACATTGGAGGTATCGAAGTATACTGAAGTTTTGTTAATTGCTGTACAATTTATTTGGGTGTGTGCCATTTCTTTTTTGGGTGGTGATCTTTTATTGAACAAACAGCGCAGTTGATCAAAATAAAAATTAGATGATGGAAGCAGTGACTTGCATCCCTGAGACGATCCGCCTTCAAAAAAGAAAATTGTCCCCTCTCTTAATTTTTTGTCCTGATGAAATATGAAGAATTGAAGAGGGTTGGAATGGACTTGCGTTTGGTAGCGGCATTTGATATGACAATGTTTACTGTCAATATTTGCTGATTAACAACTGCAGGTAGGAGTTTTTTCTCCCCGGTTCATGCAGGGTTGATTAAACAAATTACCTTTTTTTTAAATTTAAAATTAGAGACCGTTTTACATTAAAGACTAAACAACTATCAACCTTTGTACTTTGTGTGCCATGGACAAAATGTCAGGATGAACCAATTTGTTACATTCAAGCCCTACATGGTCCGAATTTCATTCCTCTATGTTATGGCTTGTTTACATCTGGGTACTATATGCTTGGCTTGCTATGATGGCAGCCAGGCGAATATCAATGTGACACATATTCGCAATGAAGTTCTCCATCTTGCATCACTACATGATGCTATATAATCTTTGCTTTCAAGATATGTCCTCTAAAAAAAATCTCCATTCCTTACAAAAAATAAACAGTAATTGTTTTGTATTAAGTAACGTATAAGTTTACCGGTAGGTGTTTTATTAATTTATTTAAATGGTATTTTACTTGTATTATACAACTTTTATTTACTTAATTGGTGAGCGCATTTGAACATAATTTATAGAGTGCAAATTCCATCAAATCTAGTATTAGATTATAAGGCCAGTAAGAATGGATGTCTTTGTGCACTGGTCAGGATATGTTTTTACACTGTAGTCACACATACATGTACCTGTTGTACTTTAACATGTTCAAGTTACTTTACACAAGTCATGATAATGTTCCCATGAAATAATATTTAACAATTTATATTTTGAAATAAAGATATATGTATCTTGAATTAGGGAGAACAGCTGAATATGAAGTAAATTCCAGTCTTACATCGTGTGGGATAACAACCAACAGAGTCCAACTAAGACCCACATGAGTCAGCCACTGCTGTTCATGGTAGGGTCATAAAATCACGCTTAGAATTGCTGGAAACACAAGCAGTTTGTCTTTGAAATTAATGCTTCAAAGGGAAAATAAACACATAGACATGACAAGTTTATTGGGTTAGCTCAAAGAAATCTTTCAGGGATTTTCATAGTTTCAATCCATTGCGAGCAAGATTCGGGTGCTCATGTTGCCGTTTTTAGACATTTACCCAAATTGCTATCAAGGCCAATAATCTTTACAGATAGAAACCACTTTAAACCAGCCTGGTGTGGTAACGCTGCTTACATGTGAGAGCAACATTTTTGTAACTGTGCCCGGTTGTGCCAAACACCATTACTAGAACATGCTCGACACATTGGCTTACTTACATTTTACATTTTGCCTTCAAATTAGAGTAAACTGACTGACGGAAAAGTACTTAAGAAAAATTCCTGTGGTTAATTTATCACTTTTCAAAATCTATTTTCTGACCAGTGAGATGATTATGTTGGCAAAAAAAAAGGGTGAGGCAGTAACCAAAAGTCACAAGGTGGGCCACCTCATGTTTAAATAGGCAGGGGAACCCTGGAATGTGATATCAAAATCTGTTACATTTGAAAGTTCATTCCTCAAAAAACCCCACAAAATTCTGACACTGCAATTACACTATGTACAGCAAATCCTTGGTCATTGCTGATACCAAACTCTGGAAAACAAACACAACAAATCTTGGCCAGCCTACGTACACACCTCCAGTATCTGACCAATCAAAGCGCTCCATTCCAATTTCTACCCATCATGGCCGAATAATAGTGCGTCATGAGCGTGCATGCATACAGTCGAAGTTTGACATCAATATGCAATCAGCTAACAGAAATTATTGCTTAGGCCTACCTGTTTAGCATTTCCAACCCAGAATGTCAGGTGATCAAATGCTATGAAACGTCCTTTCTCAGGCTGAAAGTAAACCAGAAAATTCGATAATGTTTCATGCATTTTAAAAAGTATCAGGAAACATGACAACTTCTGCGTGTTCGGCATAAATAAAAATATTGCCACGCATGACTAACATGACGAAGGACTGCGAATTTCACACTTAGTACTAGCCCCACTAGTGTGGCACGGACTCTCACTCCCGATCCATCGGGAGTGAGAGTCCGAGCCACACTAGTGGGGCTAACTTAGTACATACCTTCGGGCCCTTGTTCGTGTATGTAGTCTGAAATACAAGGAGAAAAAACAAAGCAATTACTTAATGTGTCTAACTATAACAAGCTTGTTGGCATAAAAAGCCGTATAAAGTGAAAATTTGTACCATTCTGGTTGTGAATCACCGGTGATCGTTACACGACGCATCGACTTCGTGTGATGTGGCCAACCGGCGCAGTCAGCGCTAGCCCCTCTGCTGGTGCTCACATGTACATTGTACATGTACATGCGCATATACGTGACACACACACAGCACGGAGTGCAAGCGCCGATTACGTCATGATTGAACTGCTGCAAAATTGGGGGCGCTATTCGGGAAAGGCAGTAAGCGCATAATATAGACATAAATAACCTGGGGCCGAGTCGAGTAGGTGTGAAGAGTGTTCAAGATGAGCAGTATAATTTAACACAACACTTGTTTGTTGACAAACAGTAGGTGATGGTGCGTTTGGTCAAGAATTTCGAGCCCCATTTACACGTTTTTCGATGAAATTGAAATAGTGTCGCTTTCAGTTCGTTTGTGAACTTGGCGTACACGGTATATATACAGCAAAGAATTGATACCACTTACCAGAATGACGGAAATAAGGTTTGTGTAGCTTAACTGGTAGTAGTACTAACGTTAGTGTATGGTTTCGGCCTAGGCCTATGTTACAATCTGACTAGGCCAACTTTCAGAACTGTAACTTTGGTTTATACAAACCGGGGACAGCCATGTACAACTCCCAATTGGTCAAGTTATTTCAGAGATGACAGTTATTGAGAGTACATGCTGCTGATTTTTGTAGTGTGGATGGACAAAATGGACAAGAATTTAACCATTTTAATGAGGAATGTTTGCTTGCACAAAAAGCTGTGATGGAAGAGTAAGTTGACACAATCAAAACAGCCAAAATGTGTTTATGGGAGTGTGTACGTGGCTATCTATGAAGTTTACGTCAACCTTACAGTTCTGGAAGTACAATCTGACGTTGCTTTTGACTGTGACTTTCATGATGTGATGACCGTTAGTGCCAGTGCTTAGTGTACTAGTGTGAGAACACTGAGCAGGTGAATGTAGCCCAGGTTGGATGCCAGTCTTCAATTTTATTTTACGTTATAATAGGCCTACAACTGCAACCTGGGCTACAGTGAATGCGACCCCATCCAACAGTTCCGCATTACCATCACTCGAACACTTAGTTTTCATGATCAGTGATCAGCAGCTAGCTATGAAAGTCTGAGAGTGACATCAGATCTTGATGAAATGTTAAGAGGTGATTTGCGGAGTGCTGCCATGGCTGTATAATTTGATTACATGTGATTCCGTAGATCTTCTCTCAAACTATCCTCATCATGTCCGTTTCATGCTAGTTGTTGTTGGGTCCAGTGTTACGCATACATCCAATGTCTGTGACCGTAGTTACCAGGCCCCTAATTTTGCCACCTGTTGTTAAGTCTGATTGTTTTCACAGTAAGTTGCAAAATAAGGGACCTGGCGACTAGACACTGACAGACGTTATACATACTTAGGCCTAGCTATGTGATGAACATAACACTGACATTCATTTCATGATAGCTTAGCTAGGGCACTTGCTGAAGAATCATACATGCATTACAAAATGTTTCCATCTGGCTTAAATTTAAGGTGCCTATATAATAATCATGGTTCCAGAATCAAAATGCACCCCTAAATTTTGGACTTGCAGTATTTTATGGTGACTTTTCAATTTTAGGGTCCTTTTTTTTTTAATCTGCTCAGCATTGTTGTATGCACCTACAATGTTGCCACCTTGGATCCACCAAAGGAACTTTTGAATGACCTTATTTGGCTCCACACGAGTGATGCCCCCGACCTTTATGCTATTGGCCTTCAAGAGGTCAGCTCCAAACCTCATGAAGTCATCCAGAGCACTCTCAGCGATGACCCTTGGACGGAAGCTATCTCGGCATGCGTGTGTGAGAAGGGATACGCTATGGTTGGTATTAGGATAGCAGCCACACATCCAGACTTATACATGTAGATAATGCCCTCGTCCAGAGCCAGCACAAGTCAATCACAAGTTGGTTCACAAGTCTGGTCACAAGACTGAGTGACTGTCTGGATCAGTTTGTATTGTCACAGATATCCTTACAGAAGGGCCTTCAAGTCCGAGTCCTAACGTAATAATATTAACAACAATAACAGTGTTCTTATATAGCACATTTCACTAAGGTCAAAGTGCTTTCCATTATCATTATCCCTGCTCAATGGGCCCATGAAATATTCCACATACCATCTTAGCTCCCTAGGGAGGATACAGCCTGATACAGCCATGTCGGCACAAAGCAGCTAACTTGGTTCACTCAAACTGTAATACATGGCAGATTTAGGACCTGTTTTCACCTTAATTTGCTGCATTTCAAAGTTGCTTGACTGACAGTTGACACTGTGTGTTGTAGGTGAGTTCCATCCGTCTTCAGGGTATCATCCAGCTGTTGTTTGCTCGCATGCTTCACTTACCGTTCCTTCGGGATATTCAGACAGACTTCACACGGACTGGCCTGGGGGGAACATGGGTGAGTAATTGCCTGTCTAGCTTACTGCATGCATAGTCTAACCCCCCCTCCTTTTTTCACTGTCGATTCTGGTGTGAAACAGTGAAGTGTCGTTTCTTCAGTGATAGAGGCTTCACCTTTAGGAAACAAACAACGATTTGAGATGTCAGAGTGAACTCCCACATAACAAAACACATTCAAAGCCACCATTGCGTATTTCAAATTGTGTGGAATGTTGTTTTCAGGCCTCAGTGAAACTTTGGAGTGTTTGACTCGATCTCAGTTAACAGAAACAAATTTACTCTCTCAAGCTGAGTTGTTCCAAAAGTGAAGAGGCATGTTGGCAGTACTCCGTGTTAATGGTTTATCAGCAGGTGTGGCAAGTATTGCCAATCCATGTGCAATTATGCTGCCCCCAACTTGAGAAGTGAATTGTATTACCCATGCCATTTGCTTTTTTAACAGGGCAACAAAGGTGCTGTGTCTATTCGGCTGGACTGCTATGAGCGCTCGCTGTGCCTCATCAATACTCACCTGGCCGCTCACGTTGAGAACTGGGCAGACAGAGATAAGGAGTATCACACTATTGTCACCAGCCAGACCTACTCTCACCCAAAGACGCCGACAGTTCTTGATCACGAGTAAGTGAATGACATCGACTCGAGCAAAACTCATCGCTCTGAATTTTTCGTGTTGCCTGATAGATGTTTTAAGATGAACAGTCTATGTAAAAACAATATGCTCTGTGGAAAATATAGCTATTCATAATGAGTGTAGACAAGGAAGAAAATTTACGTCTAAATGGAAGAGGACAGTCTCAGAAAATCATTGAGGGTGTAACAATACCGCGTTGTTCTGATGCAATGCGTGTTGCAGTGGTAATGGACAGTAGAGGGTTCCAGCTCACTATGTTTGTAACTCTTTGCCATTTTGTAACAGAGGCAACAGCCAGCTTGAAGTCTGCATCACAGTATTCATGTATTGTCATTCTTTGAACAGTATCATTAGTCCTTAAGAAATTACATGTGGGATGAACCAGGGTTCAAGGTTTGATTCAGAATTCCGTAATAAACGTTACGCTCTCCCCGTGCCTAATGATCACCGACTTTCTAGAATCCATTTGACCTTTGACTCTTGGTGACTTTCCTTACCAGCTACATCATCTGGTTCGGCGACCTCAACTACCGCATCGAGGATCTGTCTGTTGAAGTGGTCAAGTTTTTGAGCACACCCAAGAAGCTGCACGTGCTGCTGGAGAAGGACCAGCTCAAGCTGTCCATAAGGAGCAAGCTGTCCTTTGAGGGGTTCCGCGAAGGCCCAGTGACGTTCATCCCGACCTACAAATATGATTTTCAAAGTGATGATTTCGATACAAGGTTACAAAAAGTCTCTTGGAAGCTTTTGTTTTGACAGTGAGCTTATTGATGGTTAAAGTAGTATGCCTTAATGACCAAAATCAGTCTGTTTATGGTTGGTTGGCTCAATCCTGGTTAATGGGATAATTCATTCATTGATTTTTGCAGGGAAATTTACCAGGGATCCTTCAAGTCAACTCAGCATGCAAGCATGCATCTATTTAAGGGAAAAACCCCAAAACATTGGCATATTGAGTTAAACCCAATCATTAATCCACACTAGAATATACACACACATTCAATAACAACTCGTACCAGACCATGGCTGGACAATTTGATTCTTCAATTTTATTCATATAACTTAATTAGTTGACTTGGAGAAAGATACATTTCCATACATGCCAATTGTTCTTCCAGCCCTAAGCAACGGCCCCCAGCCTGGACGGATCGTGTCCTCTGGAAGGTTCACCCCAAGTATGCAGGGGATGAAACAGACTTCTGCATCACGCAAATGGCCTACCGTTCCCACGGCAACATCAAATGGAGTGACCACAAACCAGTCAGTGCCGAATTCAGATTAGGGGTGAGTTTGGAGACAAATCTGCTACTTTCAAATACCTAAAAAGCAGATTTAAAGGCCATTTCTCAGTGTTTTTGGTGACAAGAGTTTGGTCTTCTGGGGCTGGGAAGTTCTGTTTGTGAAGAATTTGAAGTGATTCACAGTTACATATATACAGGTGCTTATTAGTTATTTGCTGCAGGATAAAAACCTGGTTCCTCCTCTCCTCATTTTTCTGGTCAGAAATGTAAATGGCTGATGGTGATTTAGACAGAAAAATTCCATTTTCCTTCACATTTTGATCCATGACCTTTATCTGTCACTGAAGACAAAAACCACTTACGAAGTTTCATCAGAACAAAAGCTAGGATTCCCAAACATAAGCAGAAACAAATATAAGCAAAAGTTCCCTCCAGAAAGTTCACATCCAGAAAGTTATCATGGCCCTTGGCAGTATCCTTCACTGATGAATTTCAATATCCCAGGTGTCTATGGAGACGGCCCGACCCTTGGTGTCCTTTGACCCCATTGAGTCCTGGAGGAGAGGGGAGGATGCACAGTGTACCTATAAGGTGGCCCCAGGAACCAGGACTAGCAACTGGGACTGGGTGGGATTGTACAAGGTAGGCTAGACATGTTTAAGAGAAAAATTCTAAGTACTCTGTAACAGGGTTTATAAGAACACTGAGGAGGGAGTAACCCTAAACTCTCTTGGCTTTCTTGCTAATCCTCAAATGTAACCCAACCCAACAAAATGACTTGCGGTTCACCAGAGCCACTTTTTGGTGACAGTCCTTAAAATTTTAAAAAGAAGCTTGCACAATTCAAATTGATAGGTATCCGCAGCATTTTCCAACTAGCTAATGGCTGTCAGGGCTGAGATTTGTCAAGATTTTTCCTGGTTTCTGGACTTCAGGGTTTTTCAAACAGTCTCTTTTAAAATCTAGAAAAATCTGAGTTTACTGTGACTGTGTTTTTATGTGCAATGGTTTATCTAGAACACAGGAAATGGAGATTTTAAGGGATGCACTCACAGGCAAACACGGATGTATGCCATAGACCTCATGCTTCTGAGGGGCCCTCAAAACCTCTAGCGATTATTTTGTGGCCTTTTCAATTTCCTCTGATCTCACCCCTGGGCCGTTTTCATCAGGATGCTAAACTGAGTGATACATCAAAGAGCGAGCCTGTCAAGCTGTTTCTAGTCTAGACTAAAACAAAATGTAATTTTAATTCTGACAAAATGCCTTTGAACTTACTTTGTGGGGTTGGATCATTCATTTGCTGTTTTCTCTTCAACAATTTCAGCTGTGGACCGCAACCTGTGATTTCCAGGTCCCTTTATCTATGAGATACTGAGGCTTTTTTCAAATATGGTTTTCAAATTATTTTAGTGTGGTCATTGTCAGTTTCATTAATGTAAGTTCTTACATGCACACCCTAGGTTGGATTCCAGACACCAAGTCGCAGCTATGTAACCTATGTCTGGGCTGTGCCCAATGGAGAAACAAGGCAAGCGTCTGGGTGCCGGGTTACCTTCAAGTCCAACTACCTCCCAGATGACACCTTCTCCAAGTATGTGTTGTGTTACTTTAGTAAAGCTATGAACTGTGTGCTGGGAGTCAGCAATGTGTTCAGGGTAAGTACACCAGGGTTTGGACGTACCTTACCAAAATAGAGTCTGGATAGAAGAGTTTTTGATGTTACTGTTACAAAAGTTACAACTTTTCCATCATTTCCCATTGTACTAAGGAAGGCATGGACAGATTTTTATTTTATTTTTCACGTTTATTATTTAAAGTAATTATGTAAAGCAGGTTCAGTGGTGTGTGCGTGTAAATTTGAGAACTGAAAATAGACAGAACAGAGGCTTTGGACAAAATAGGTACAGATGGAGGTGGTGTCCTTTTGGACAAGTTTTCACTAACATTAATTCAAACTTTGTGAAATATCCCTGTCTATTGTATTTGTTGAGAAACCAACAATGCTTAGGCTGCATTGTCGTGGCCCAAATGGTAGAGTCTGTCACATGCTGTCAGTTGTCATAATACTGCACATTGCAGTGTTTATCTTTTGTTCATGTGATCCAGCTGATGGGTGGGCCAGTGTTTAATTCAAACAGAAAAGACAAAGTGCAGATGAAAACTCTTTGAAATTCTGCATATCTAGGAATTCAGTATCTAAGAGAAATGTGAAATATGTGTTGTGCAAGATAGTAACGGCTGGCTGTGAAATAGTCAGTCATGCTCTGTTTATTTGGCAACTTTGAAAAGTGTACACCATGTCACAGGTGAGGTTCATGTAGGATATGTGGGGAAGTGAATATTATTACAGTACTGTGAGTAGCCTTGCTAACCCAGGTGCCTTGCTAACCTAGGTGCCTCGCTAACCTAGGTGCCTCGCTAACCTAGGTGCCTCGCTAACCTAGGTGCCTCGCTAACCTAGATGCCTTGCTAACCTAGCTGCTTCCTTCTATTTTGTCTACCTCTGTTCTCTCTCCTGCCTTTTTATGCCTGTTCCTGATTATTCTTCACCTCTCTTGCCCTCTGTATGTTCACTTTTCATACCCCATTTTTGCACATTGCACTGATTTCATTACTTATTTACACCTTTGATGTCACTCTGTCATCACACTTGCTTTTCCCTGACTTTTGTCCGCCATCCTCCCCCGTCTTAATGCTCACCTCTATTGTCCTCTGGTGCTGATTATTATCCCAATTATCCACATATGACCACTGTCACCTCACATTTTCCACTATTGCCCTCCTGTTCCTCACTACTGCCCGTATTTTCCTCACTTTCCCTATTGCCCTGGGTGTTCTTTGCATGCACTGTAGGTCCTTCCCTTTGAGGAAGACACCAGACAATTCAGGGCGGCAGACTATGGTTTTGCAGAAACAGCGACAGTCCTCCGTGACATAGCTGGTATATGAGACCAACAGGGGAAGAAACAAGCAAGAACCAAGCTGGTTTCCAAAAACAACCATTCCTCTTCAGCTCTGTTTTACCAGTATATTTAATCTATTACAAGTCTCTTTGATCCAATTCTTGGCTCTCAAATGAAGACAGAAAAGGTTAGGAAAAGCCTATCAGTTAATCTTTGTGTTCCCTGTTTTTTTCTTGGGGGTGTGGTAGTAATTTCTTTGCTGTTCTTCCGCAGCTTATAATCAAATATGTCTGTGTTTTTGACAAAAGTCTGATAGCTAGGGGTGTTATGATTCATTGCATTGATGCGCAAACTTATGATAATACTGCATGGCAGCACCACGGTATGGAAATTCTCACATGTGGCTGTGAAATAAACCTAGCTAAAACACAAATTATTTCATGCACATGAAGTGTGAATTTATGCTAGAGTTTATGAAAATGATGCATGTTTAAAAATGAAAGTTAAGAGCAGGTAATCATAGCATTTCTGTTAACTTGCAAACATCTTAAAAATGAGCCTGTGAATAAATACAAATACATAAGGCAGAAAACAACCTTAGCTTCTATTCACGATTTGTATCATGATGCATATCATGGTGCTGTGACCTCAATAGTATTTTATGAAACAGTCGTATCATTGCACCTCTACTTGTTGTGGATTGATCTATCCAATAATCCCCTATTCTTAACGGTAATAGTTCTTAGCCCTTCACTTGTTGGAGGATTGAGGATTAGCAGGATTAAACATGCAGAATGCAGTGAGTGGTAACATGTTGGGGTGCATTTTTGCTTTTACCAAACATCAGCAGTGTATTCTGAAAAACTTCCTCCAAATCTTCCTTCTCATTTCCTTTTAAATACAGAATTTTTAAAAAAAATTCTTAACAGTCAAGGCTTATTTTATTTTCAAATCATGAAAGCGCAATTTATGCAAGAAAGGATTAAGTTTTTGTTTACATGTTCATGTACTTGCCGTATCAGTGTTATAATGTAAAATGAAACAGTTATGATTGTGTGATTTTTATCCTAATTTAGAAGTGAGCCAAGCGTTTCATACAACATAGCCACACAAACTGCATTCTTGCAAGAGATACTTTTTTCTCGGTCAGTTCAAAGTGATTGTGAGTCAGAGTTACAAAATATGATGAAAGTAGCCATAGAAAGCAGGTGTAACATTGTCCTGGTCTGCACAGTACAGCATAATTGGCCAGCTACAGGCCTCGTAAAACAGGTGGAAAGGTTGAAAAAAACAAGGTTTCACTTTGATTCAAACTTTTGTAAATAGTGAATGGGTCAGTTTGTAAATATCTGCAAAAGTTGCGCTACATTGGAGGAGCATTTGTTTGAAAAGGTGCTACTGGTTTACATGTGTTTGAATGGGAGTGATTATTTTGTTTGTGAATTAAGTGAAATAGGCATAGCAGCTGTGAGCTATCTTGGCTGAAATTGATGAATTAGAAATTTATTTTATTCTCAAAAATAACTTATTTTACATGCTTTTTAAGTACATTTATTGAGCTTTAGGATAAACAGATTGTAGAAACTAGAAGCTACTACAGTTAAACAATGTTGACAAGGTACGGTTATGCCCAGATGGTATCCATGAGTACATAGTGATTTCTCTTTTTTTCATGAGTTCATTTATAGACAGATATGACACAAGAATTTGAAAATAGATTGAAAGTTCATATTAAAAGCGGCATTTTTCATCAGATGGGGGTTAAGACACAGAAATCTGCTTTCTCCAGTGTGATGCTCAGAACATAACAGTTACCAGCTAAAATGCCACGCAGTGCACATTAGGTATGGCTGGTTCCCCACTTACTGCCACCCACCCAGGCATGTGAATTTTTAATTTGCACCCGCTGGAGATTTTAAGGAGCATAGATTCTGAGGGGCAAACTGTCTCTTGTTCAGCACACAGTAGTTAGTACCACTGGAAAGTAGGTAAGCTCAGTACAAAGTAGTTGATTAGTACTTAAAGAATAAATTGAGATGATTTCTAGCCTTGCAAGTCGCATGTACTTAAAGCGAACCAGTGTATTTATCCCAGAGTGCAATATACTGTGTTGTAATGAAGAATATAATGACGTGTAGGTTCAGGAGTGAATGGTTGTAAAATTTATACAGTGCTTGAGAAAAGTGCTGGAGACTAATCCAATTATATTAACTGTGAAGGCACAGCAATCCCATGCACAACCTTCAGCTTGACACATACATACATTTGGTTGAAGGGGCCTGTAATGTATGCCCACCACCTGTCTGCGAGCGCTGTGCCAAGCAGTAATCGCTTCTAATTCTGGTAGTCAAATTACACTATAATTCAAATCAGGTTGAGTAAATTGAGCATTTGGATTGTGAACAGTGCAGTTCAGGCTCTGTTGGTCTGTTCAATATTTGCTTCAACATCATTTTTGGAAGGTCTATTTGAAGTGCCTTAACTTCATCCAAACATTCAGGGAAATGTTGTGTACATGTACTTGAGCTTGTTGCATTCCCTGCTTTGACGACACCTGCACTGTGTTTAAAGCTATTTATTCCACTAATGAAGAGACAGAAAATCTTAAGCAGTGAAGATAGATTTTATATCACATTTATAGTTGCAAGTGTGGATTTTTTCCAAAGGGGGGAAGGGGTGGGGTGAATATGGGTCAGCAGAGGCTGGCACACGTGGTGGCCTATGTGGTGAAATCAACTAGCATTTAAAATTGCAACCACCCCTACCTATATTCATACTTATTAAACCTATCTAAATATAATATGCGATTGATTTTAATGATGAAAAATTTATTTGAAGTAGCATAAAATTTATTCAGAAAATATTTCAAATACTTTATTTCTAGTGGAGTTACAGTTTTGGTTTATCATTTGCGTAAAGGATATCTGCTTTTGGTATTTTTTATATTATATTTACATTGATGTCTTGATTTATTGATACACTATTATATAATGCACTTTTATATTATAATTTACTGTTTTAACATGTAAATGAGGTAATTTATGGTAATTTGATTTAAGAAATGTTTATTACATTAAAGCACTAAAAAGGAAAATAAATCTAAACAGCTATCGATAGCAAGTGCTTACTGATGCTATTAGACTTCTGCTTGTAGATGTGTCACTAAGCACAGCTAGAATGGCACAATATTCTGTTAATGTGATTGATTAAAGTATCAGGTGTCTTCATGCAAGTATGTTTTTCAGCTTTTTTCCCAAGCACAATTTTCCCAACCTTTTTTTTTTAAATGTGATTTACAAACCTTGTGTATCAAATTTTATGTTTGACAGACTTTTTTTTTACAAGTTCAAGCATCTACCTTTCCAAACACGTGAACTTCTGCAATGTTAAACCCTGTATAGTAACTAAATAATGTCCCAAGCCGTGAAAATGACACGGCCGTTGACGCCCTCTCATGAAATAAAAGTCAACAAATTAAATGTCTGACAACCCTCAATGGGGATCAGCATGTATCTTTAAATTTAAAATGGACAACGTTGCCTTGAAAAAGCCGTTCGTTCTGGTAATCGCAAAGCAGACAAATTGAACACACTTGTCGGCTGAATACGTTAACTGGTTTATTTTGTGCTTCCCTGAAAGAACCGTAAATGGCCACTTGTTTGCCGCCTAAGTAAACTCTTAAAGGTCAAGAACATCATAAAGTGTCAAGAT